AAAAATTATGACACTTTACCCAGCCTACTAATTTTTATTTCATTTGCTTTAAGGGGGCATTTAATGAGCTTACCGTTTTTTCTATCCAAACATTTAATATTATGCCTACGTGAACGTCATTTGTGAAAGTAGAAAATTAATTTTTGCCCCACAAAAAGTGTTTCCACGCATGGTGGGTGTCTACAAAATGGCAACAAAATATCAAAAGCAGTCTCAATGAACTTGGGGAAAAAACTTTTTTTGGTTTTCATTTTTTTACGTGCAAATGGTGCGTCGTACGAGAGTAAGTCTAGGGACCGAATTTGCTGTAAAATAAATGGAGATTTTAAAAATAATTTTAGTTTTTAGAAAAAGCAGTGGCGTACCATTTTTTTCTTCAAAAATGTTTAGTTCAAACCTCGTACGGACGTCATTGGCAAAGATTTTAAAACATTTTTTACATCAAACAATGCTCCTTAATGATTAATAGGTGTGTACAAAATTTCATAAAAATATCTGGAGTGATAAGAAAATTATAATAAAAAAGTAAATTTTTTCTTAAAACTGTTAACACCCTGTAGCTCAAAAATTAAGAGGTTTAGGACATATCTTGATATTAAGTTTTCTTCTTAGAATTCAATTAATAAACACCCTGTATATAATGCTTGTGGTTCCAGGCTGTAGATTTGTGGTTTCAGTTTACAACGTGAATCTGCCAAATGTAGAATTTTAGCTAATTTTTATATTAGTTTTCTGGTGTTCACCAGAAATTGAGTTGTAAGGATTTATTGAGCCTTTAAATACTCAGAATGTGATATGAATCCCATAAATATGAGGTGTAGACTAGTTTCCAGAATTATGTCCAAGAAGAAACCGACTAGTTTTTGGCTAGGGTTATTGACAATTTAAAATACTAGAGGATGATGGAGCATTTCTAATGGCAGATTCAGTTTCTGTGGATCCAAATATTCAGAGTAGAATAGAACATTTTTTTATACCTGTATATATTATGTAATCGTTCCAATTTCTCAACTACGTCAAATAAATATAGTGAAGGTACATTTCCTAAGTAACAATGACTAAGAATGACAATCGAACAAGTTTTTGAGTCATCGTTTCAACCAAAAGCATTCATATTGCTTTTCCGAAGGGCAGTTTCAGAGAGGATAGTGGATGTTTTTTATTATGACTTTTCCAAAATTCATCACGAATATTTGAAGTTTGAATAAACTGGCGAGGGACAGTTTATTGAACCAATAATATGATAGGTCATCAATCCTGGTTTCGGAAGTACCTACCAGGAATATATGGTTAAAATGAGGAATTTTGTGCAAAAGCCTTCCTAACCGTCGTAAAATGGATGGAAAATGTCCAGTAATAATATACCTGTAGTTATTTTTGATGGTAGATTGTAAAATGCTACTTTTACATTTGAGAATGAAACTTTTATTTAAATTAAATAATTCGAAAAAAAAATTGGACTTATTTTCACTCAATAATGTATCAGTTTCTGTCCACACCCGATTGAGTGAAATTTTTCTCTATTAATATTCTCTATTATAAAATTTTATAAGTGAAACTATCAATTTTAGTTCAGATATTATCAAAAATGTGTAAAATTATCAATATTGACATTATATTGACAATATACTCAATAATTTCACTCAATGGATTAATTCAGTACCTTTTTGCTCTCACTCAGACTGAATTTTGTACAGTATTCAAAGTAGCTCTGAGCATCGTATACATTGACGAAAATGAAGAAGATTTCATACATTTGCTAAATTCAGAAAAATATACCATTAGTACATTTTCTGAAAAAGATAATTCTCAGCCCAGTAATCAATAATTTTTTTACTCGTTTGCCAGTATATCTCGATTTTTCTGGTAATGACTCGATTTGCTTTGCTAATTCAATTAAATGTTAATTCTTCCTTCTCAAATAATAAATAGTTATTTTTATGGATTTAAATAGGAACAATATGGCGATTCTATTATGATAAAATTAAAATTGATCGGCGAAAATATTATATGTTTAACTTGGCAATAAAGTAGATTTAATGCCTGGGCTGCGCCTCGTCTATTAAATACCAGCAGCGGCATTAAATCTTGTACTTTACTGCCTAGTTAAAACAGATAACTATTGCGTCTTGGATGTAAAAGACTTTTACATTCTGTAGACAGAAAAACTTTTGTTGCAGAAGTCAACTGTTAATGGCAGTTTTCGAAAAATGTAATTTTTGAAACTTGCAGTATGCAGTAAGAATTAGGGAGGGGGAAATGGCCCCCCTACCGCCCCTGTCCTCATGGCTAGGCCAATGCTCTTGTATCAGATCGGTGAACTCGACAGTTTTCTAAATATTTTAACAAAAACGCAACAGTAAACGAATTGAATCATTTAGGTACCATTTATTTTTCTTCAGAAACAACTTACGGTGGTATACCCTAACCATCATTTAGGAATTAAAGAAATTGTTCTTTTTATTAATAATTTTTTAATATACTCGTACATACTGTGCAAAATATGTACAGGGTGTCCCCAGTTCGGGTTGCCTATACCTAAAATGGACACAAAATTTCAATTGTCAAAAAAAATAATTCTTCATAAAAATTTTTGCTTGTCCAGAAGCCCTTGGCAAGATAGTCATTTGTTCAATTTAATGTACAGGGTATTCAAAAATTTGGAAAAGGTAAAACAGTAAAGAGTAAAGTACCTCAAATCTTAAAGCTACGTGGAAAAGTAATGGGGAAAAGTTGCTTGGAATTAAATTTTATGTTTAAATATGTTCTTCTAGTTAATACTCGATATTCTGGGATATTCTAGGACTCTACTTATTCTTTAATACTTTCGGAGAAGCCATTCTATTAAAAAAATATTGCTTTATTGAAAAACAGATACACAGGGGGATCAAAAACCTCAAAAACATTAATCCAACATTTATTTTGAGAACACAGCAGAATCAGTATGTACGCGTCATTACAAAACTATTCTATATGAAGTCCGCCAAGTTCAGCACACAGCCCCCCAATCTTTTTCTAAATGCAGCGTAGGTCGAATGTATCATTTCTTCATTTACTTGGGCAACAGCTTCAATTAACCTGCTTTTCAAGAAAAAAAAAATAAGTAGAGTCCTAGAATATCCCAGAATATCGAGTATTAACTAGAAGGCCATGCTTTCATATTTAAACATAAAATTTAATTCCAAGCAACTTTTCCCCATTACTTTTTCACGTAGCGTTAAAATTTAATGTATCTATCTTTTTGGAGATTGCGTTGGAGTAGGAGTGTGTATTTACGAATGTAATCAACCTTATATAAATACATATTACAGTTTAATTTGTTTAATTTTTATAAGTTATCTAATTTAAGGGACACAAATATTAAAATATTTTTAATATAGTAACAAACACAAACATATTTTTGTGATGCATGAACTCGAATGTGCACATTTTTGATAAAAAAATTATCTCCGTTTACGAAACTCGTCTTTATTGGCAACTCATATTTTACTGACATTATTCAGTGGATTAGGAACAGCAAGCAGCAAAGTTCCACCTAAAAAAAAAAAACAATTTCATAAAATAATGCATATTAACTATAAGATAAAGTATTAGGAGTTGAAATGTTTGCACTAGGACTGCATAGGACCGAGGTCTGTTGGAAGTAGGTAGGTACTGGTCATAGAACTTCGTCAAATTTTTCTCCATATATCTTATAGGTCTACAGGGTGACCCGAAATTAGGGGGCAATATTTCTAAAGGGTGTTGTATGTCGAAAAAGATTACTTTTTCTTTATATAAACGTGAGTCCAAAAATTCTTAATAACTTACAACTATAGCCACTTAAAGGAGCCACTCTGATGATGTTTTTTTCTAAATAACTCCGAAACCAGTTGAGATAAATTTATGAAATTTAGTAACTAACTTAACTCTTACGTGCTCAGTCCGTTACTAAAAACGAAATTTAAAAATTAAAATTCACCATAACTTTCTTATGCTTTAACTTTTTTGATTTTTGACTGAAAAGTATGAAATTTCAAAGTTTTTTAGTAAAAAAAGGTATTCTAGGTTCAGATTAGTAGAATGTTCCATTTTTGCTTAAAATACGTTTAAAAACAATGTTACATGTGTTAATAACCGAGAATCGAAATTGTCAATATTTTTTATGGTCGCAGGAATAGGAAAAATGTGTTTGGCGTCATTTGCATTAGCAGTTCAGGTTTTACTTTTTGCGAATTGTTATCAGTCGAAAATGCAACATTTTACGAATTTAGAGGTAGCAGATATTCATAATACCCATTTCTGGTCAGACGAAAAAAACACGGGCAATACGGCGCATAAGTTTTGAAAACAGATTTGCTAATTTGCTATAAATGTGTGGACAGAAATTTTAGAGGACCAGCTACTTGGACTAATTCAGTTTCCCGTTTGCCTGAATGCAGAAGGATACTTAAAATTTCTGTAAAATAATGTAAGAGAACTATTGGATGGATACACCGTTAAACGTATACGCTTAACGTTACACTATAACAAGATGGGGCCCCACCTCACTTTACCCATATTGTCATAAATTGGTTAAACGCTCTCATTTTCTTGGCAGGTGGATAGGTAGAACTGGCCCCATTCCATGGCCACCTCGATCTCTAGACCTAAATCCTCTAGATTACTTTCTGTGGGGTAGTAAAGGCTGTAGTTTACGCTACAGAAATAAATCCTTTGGAAGAATTACAACAGGGGATTCATTTGGCTGCGAATCAAATAAGACAAAATAATTTTGAAGTTTTGAAGTCTTCACGGACAATTCGATGTCGAGCTGAAAAATGTATTCAGCAAAATGGAAATCTTTTAGAGCTAAAAATTACTATTGAGATAAAGATAAGTTTTATTAATAGTGTGGTTTTCAATTATTTTTATTAGTTTATTGTATACTATTTAATAATTTCAATTGTTTTTTTTACTTAGTCAAATAATAATTTACTAAAAATAATACATTTCCGTGAAAATAACAATTCGCAAAAAGTAAATAACTCATATGTCAATGCAAATGACGCCAAACGCGTTTTTGTTCTTCACAACCCGGTACGACAGAAAATATTGACAATTTCGATTCCTGGCGATTAACATTATTTTTAAACGGATTTGACACAAAAATGGAACATTCTACCAATATGGACCAAGAGTACCTTTTTTTACTAAAAAACTCTGAAATTTCATACTTTTCAGTCAAAAGTAAAAAAAGTCAAAGCATAAAAAAGTTATGGTAAATGTTACCCTCCCTCCCCCCAGATTTGAAACGTATGCGATGAAAATTTGTAATTTTTTTTTAGTAGCGGACTAAGCACGTAAGAGTTAAGTTAGTTACCAAATTTCATAAATCTATCTCAACTGGTTTCGGAGTTATTTAGAAAAAAAACATCATCAGTGTGGCCCCTAATCTTCTTCTTCTTCTTCTCCTAGTGGTTGGTTCTAATAAGTCCCATAGCACCGCGGCCTAATTAGGTCTATTGTGCGTCCCACTACTAGTCCTATTCAGCAAGTAGATTTGTCCTTTTTACAAAGTCCAAAAGCTTCCTTGCTGACACTTGTCTCAGTTCCTTGGGTTCCAAATAAGGTCTCCCCAGGAGCGCCATTCTACTACGTGCAAACCCCGGACACTCGGCCAGGATATGCAGAGAAGTTTCATCCGCCGATTCACATCCTCGGCAGACTGGACTGTCTACAAGCTTTAGTTTATGTAGATGTTTCCTAAAGTGACAGTGTCCCGTTATGAGTCCTGTCACTCTCCTGAGCCGGATTCTATTCAAGCTCAGTAACTCATTCGCTCTTCCATTCGAAGGATACTCCATAAGCTCCTTGGAATGGCTATGTCCTGGCCTTGAAGTCCAGTATTTCCTATGTTCTGTCTCTGTCCATTTGCCCAGAGCCCGCCTGACCACACTGGGAGATGTGCCACAGAAGGGCTCCGGGCCAATGAACACTGTCTCGGATCCCTTCCTAGCAAGTTCATCCGCTTTCTCATTTCCACAAATGCCTTTGTGCCCTGGCACCCAACACAGTCTGACTGTATTGTTGGTGGCCAGTTCAGTCAGCATTTGTAAACAGTCCCACACCAGTTTTGAACTTACCTTGTGTGCGGCTAAAGCTTTAATTGCAGCTTGACTATCAGAGAATATATATATGAGTTTACGTCTATAACCTCTACGTACATTCTCTGCCAGACACGCCATTATTGCGAAGATTTCTGCTTGGAATACAGTAGGGAACTCCCCCAGACTGTAGCTTGCACTCCATCTGGGTCTGAGTCCATATATTCCTGCACCCGTCCCTCTGGTCATTTTGGAGCCATCTGTAAACCATACTAGGCTCCACCTTTCCAGGGTATTAAACCTTTCCTCCCACTCGCTTTGATCCTCTATTCGAGTCTCAAATGGCTTGTGGAAGTGAAACTTTGGAACCATCTTGTCGGATACCATCCCAAGAATTGGTTCCGACATAGATGTATCTTTGATCCTGGAGTGGGAACCACCCCTCCAGTCATTATTATTCCTGAGTCGATATGCTGCTAGCCGCGCTTCTCTCTCCACCACTATATGCAGCGGTGGCAGATTTAGCATGACTTCTAGTGCAGCTGTCGGGGTCGATGCCATCGCCCCCGTTATACCTAAACAGGCCAATCTCTGAATTCTATTCAGTTTTTCCTTCGCTGTGGTCTGTTGTGTTTTCTGCCACCATACCACAGCGCCGTAAAGAATCCTGGGTCTTACTATCGACGTATACAACCAGTGTGACATCTTTGGTTTCAGTCCCCAGGTTTTCCCAATAAGGCGGCGGCATACACACAGTGTCTGCTTCGCCTTACTCACCACTTTTTCCAAGTGCGCATTCCAGGTAAGCTTATTATCCAGTATCACTCCTAGATATTTTACTTCCCTGGAAAATGTAATGCCCCTCTCCCCTATTATAGGTTCAGAGAGTCCAGTTAAATTTCTTCTCCTGGTGAAGGGTACTACGACCGTTTTGTCAGGGTTTACTGACAGTGCCTGCCCCTTACACCAGTCATCTATCCATTTCAAAGCCTCTTTCATGAGTTCTGAAACGATAATATTATGTTTCCCGACTATGAGAACGACCAAGTCGTCCGCATAGCCTTGTGTATAAAATCCCTTTCGATTAAGGCCCTCCAGTGCGCCGTCCACCACTAATCCCCATAACAAGGGAGACAGTACGCCTCCCTGGGGGCAGCCCCGGCCTACCTTACACCTGGATGTCTCTCCCGAAAGGGTAGCTGTTACTGTCCGGTTTCTCAACATGGTATCTATCCAACGACACAAAGTGTCATCAAGGCCCCTGTTGCGAACTGCCGAATTAATAGATTCGAAAGGTGTATTATCAAATGCCCCTTCAATATCTAAAAAAGCTGCCAAAGCTAGATCTTTGTCGTCCATCGCCCTCCCTATCCTAGAGACTAGGCTATGAAGGGCTGTGTCGACTGATCTGCCTGCCTGATAAGCGTATTGGTACCTGTGTAGAGGATTTGCCCTCAACACCCCGTCCCTTATATGCCTATCAACTCTCCAATGTTTTCAGGAGGAAAGATGTTAAACTTATCGGGCGATATGCCTTTGCCTGGGCATACGATGGACGCCCTGGTTTACAAATAAACGCCACGTTCGTCAATCTCCATGCCAGCGGTATATAACCAAGTGCAATGCTGGCTCTGAAGATGTGATTTAAAACCGGAGCTAGACAGTCCACCCACTGCTGTAACAGTACGGGTAGGATTCCATCGGCTCCTAGTTATTTAAATGGGAACTTATTGCCCATCTTATTCGTGACTGACTCACCACCGTCTTGGGAACCTCCCAGTTCTGTCGAGACCCGGTCGTTACCCTCTGCTGGTGACCCCAGTCAAGTTCATTTCCGTGGTTTAATAACCTGGAGCCTGGAAAGTGAGTATTTAAAAGTAACTCCAATGGCTCCCTTCCAGTTTTAGTGTATTCCCCACTCGGTGCTTTAAGAGACCCGAGTTTCGTATTACCGTTCTTCAAGAGAAGTCTCTGAAGTTTAGCACACTGTGGGACACTATCAATATTCTCACAGAACTTCCTCCATGAGTCTCTCTTCGCTCTTCTAATTTCTTTATTATACTCAGTGAGGGTTGCTCTATAAGCCTGTCCCCTTTGCTCTATTAAATAGTTTCCTTGTCTGCCCCCTCAATTGTGTGAGTTCCTTATCCACCAGGATACGGTGTGCTTGTCGGACCTCACTTTGATAGGACAGCTGTGGCCCCTTTAAGTGGCTATAACTTCCTTAGGAAGAATTTTTGGACCCATAAAGAAAAAGTAATCTTTTTCGACATAGAACACACTGTAGAAATATTGCCCCTTAATTTCGGGACACCCTGTATAATATAATGATGTGTAACTAAAAGACAAAATTTAATTTCGGATTGTACGTTACAAAATAATAGCTTCTATAAGTATGTAATTCGGAAATGCTTAATTTTTGAGGTACAGATTATTTAATATTAAAGAATATACGAGTACTTATTTCTAATGATGAGCCTAATTTTTAGCATTTTATGCTAATCCTAATACTGAGTATAATTTTAAATATTTTAGATGAAAATAAATTGCTATCGAAAACTATAAAGTACCTACCTACATAACAAAAACTACTCCTATGTATTTAAAAAAATATGGCATGTTTTCTTGTAATAAAAGTATACTCAATTACTACTAATTTTACATCTCTAAGTCCAAAATGAAGTATTTCCGCATACGCGTTTAGAAAGTTCTTTTTGTTCATATCTTTCGTAGATTTCTATCACTTGGCCATTGTACCCTGAAGAACTGTTAAGCATAAGATATATGTTTTGTGAAATATTGTTGTATTGTATTGAAGACAGAAGTTTAAATTTGTGCATTTTTAAAGTTGATGTAGAATTAATATCATAGCTTGATATCTATTGTAGCTATTTACTTTTTTAATTAAGAGTAGGTACCCACTTAATTAGAGGCAACGTATTCATAAACAGAAGTACGTTTAATGAGACAACAGTTTCGTTAAATTTATAAAGCAGTCTATCATTGTTATTAGAGCGTTTCGTATATCCTGGGAATTACTTTTTAAAATATTACCACAGAAAATAATTGTTTTGATGAGTTGAAAAACAAATATTTTTTCTGAACAAATGTAAAAGCAGAAATAATAGTATGTGTTTGTAATTGTTTGTTTTAATTTTCATATGAAGGTCGATTTTTTCTGTACCTACGGAATCATTAAAAATCATTCAATTTGACAATATAGTTTTTGGAAAACAATATATTGTACTGAAATTTGTTACAACTAAGTTTTTGTGTATTGTTAGCAGTGTGTGCAGTGACGAGTCACGAAAATTAAAGTAGTCATATTTTGTTAATGAAGCATGCGATTCATAGCATTTATCAAGTGATGATTTCTACGTCCACATAAAAGAACTTTGGTGACAAAAGAAATTTCTAATGAAATTTGCGAAATAGACAAAGGGTGGACGACCCTGAAATCTCGAAAAGGGTTGCATATACAGGGTGATTTATTGACAATAGGAAATCCGATAGCTGAAGATACCACACGTGAAATGATGACCATTGGCGCAAACAAGCCTTATCCGAAAGTTGATAATTTCGGAAATACAGGGTGTTGAGTAATTCGTTTTTTTGCTGTTATTCTGAAAATATGTAGGGACTTGAAAATTTGTGAGACTATAGTTTTTTAAGCGACGAATAAGATGCGTTTTGCAATTTCAGGTTTTTCGCAGTGGGCGCCACTTATGACCAATTTCACCGACATTTAATTAATAACCTTTTACTCTAAACAGGGTGGGCCATTAATGTGAGAAAGTAAAATAACTCCTTTGATATTCATAATACAGAAAAAAAGTTTATATAAAAGTTGTACAGAATTAAAAAACCTAAAGGACAAAATTAATTTGAAATATATAGGGCGATTAGTAAAAACGAGACTCGTCAAATATTACATTTTTAAAAAGAACACCATATATATTTTCAAATATATGGATTTCTGATAAAATTCTATATATGGCAATATAAACAGTTTTACATTTTAGTGCGGGGTTGCCAAGTTATGTAGAAAATTCATCGAATTTTGGAAAAAACATGACCTTGAAGAAGTTGTATTAACTTTCAACTACTAACACTTGGAGCAAAAATATTTGACAGATTTATAGACAAATGTTAGGCAAAGACTCCTATATTAGCTAATATCGAAATTCTATACAGGGCATTTTTTATAATTCGATCATCTCTAGAAAGTTAAAACTTGATAGTCTAAAATTTTTCAAATGGAACACCCTCTATTTTATTGTTCTATTTTATTCACATATCAGTCCACTTCAACTTTTATTAAGTATGTTCTACACCTAAAGTTGTTAGTTTTTAAGATATAGCAACATTTCTGGAAAAACCTAATTTTTATTATTTTCGGTCGCACGAAATGGCTTTGGAAAAAACTGTCACATTGTGCCAACTTATCAGTTCATAATTTATCATTCCATTTTGAGTTAATTTTATTATTTAATATTTATTTGTGGTATTCTATAAAATAATAAAAATTAAGTTTTTTCAGAAATGTTGCTATATATCTTAAAAACTAACAATTTTAGATATAGAACATGCTTAATAAAAATTGAAGTGGACCAAAGTGTGAATAAAGTAGAACAATAAAATACAGGGTGTCCATTTGAAAAATTTTAGAAAATCAAGTTTAAACTTTCTAAAAATGATCGTATTATAAAAAATTACCTGTATAAAATATCGATATTAGCTAATATTGGAGTCTTTGCCTAACATTTGTCTATAACTCTGTCAAATATTTTTGCTCCAAGTACTTGAAAGTTAATACAACTTCTTCGAGGTCATGTTTTTTTCCAAAATTCGAAGAATTTTCTACATAATTTGACAACCCTGCACTAAAATATTATATTGCCACATATAGAATTTTCTCGGAAATCCATATGTTTAAAAATATACAGGGTGTTCCATTTAAAAAATGTAATTTTTGGCGTGTCCCGTTTTTACTCATCGGCCTGTATGTTTCAAATTAATTTTGTAGTTTAGATTTCTTGATTCTGTACAACGTTTATATAAACTTTTTTTCTTTATTATGAGTAACAAGGGAGTTATTTTACTTTCTCACACTAATGGCCCACCTTGTATGTCTAAGCTGAAACATTAACTTTGACTTATTTAACAGCAGACATGTTAAAAAATATCACAATAACGAGAAACGTCTTGTAAGTCAGAAATAAATGAAGATAGCAAAGGACCCCGCACTCTTCTTATGGAAAATTGCTTTCGGTTAATTTTCTTGAAATTTTGCAGGTTGATAGTTATCAATATGTAGATCAAAAGTCTCAATGGGCACGATGCCCTATAACCCCTCCTTCCCCCCAAGAATCCACCCCAAGGGGCTAGGGGGATATAATTGATTTCTGACGGTGAAACAATTTTTATTTTATGAAGACGAATAAACTTGGATCCACTTGGCAGTGAAATAGGGAACTTATATGAAAACTAGAAGTGAATGAAGTGAATGGAATGTAGACAAGGGCAGAATCGGGAAATAAACCGATAAAGAGATAATACTCTTGTAATATCACCCCTCCGACAATTTAACTCCCTCCATTCACTTCCCATCCCTTCACCCTCACCCCTAACCAAGTGTCACCACATTTTTTTCAAGGTAGCTGCGGTGTGGTCTACAGGAATCAAGTGAAATTCATATGGTGAGGCTGAGTCAGAAGTGAGGGTCAAGTGAGTGGGGTATAAAAAGTGGTAAATGGTTGGGGGGTGGGTAATGGTTGTCTGAGAGTAAAAATATTTTGGTTGGCTAATACCCGTAATTAGTTAAATCCATCCTCAATCTTCTCCAGGACAGTATTGGGGAGAAAGAGGTGGGGTCTGATAGTCGCTGGTTGTTTCACATTCAGAAATCAGGTATATCCCCCTACATATTGAGAACAAGAAAATTAGCTGAAAGCCATTTTCCATAAGGAAAGTGCAGGGTCCTTTCTGATTTGACAGTCAGGTTGCCATGAAAATCGAACTCGAGCTGGTATCAGATTTATCATATATTTAGCAATTTCCGAGATACCCTAAATTCCCATCGAAAATGGACCAGCCTGTACATACTTAAATTAATTTATATTGCCATTTGAATTAAATTTAAGTGACAAAAATCTTACCAGATGGTTTTATTCTAATGAAGACTATCTCATCAATATTTGTAACAGTGGGTTCAGCAGAAAGGTCAAATAGATCCTAAAAAAAAAATGCATAAAAATATTGCATTTTATTCTTTTTCTTTCTTCTTTTTCTACCTACTCTTATAGCATATCCAGAATCATGAGTCAAATTTAATTCCGAAAGTGTAAAATTGAGCCTGTATGGATATCCATCCACCCTATTACTCAGAAATCCGATTGCGTAAGAATCGCTTCCATCTACGTTTGGAGTTACTGGTTTTGTCCAAATATCTATTTTATTTTTCTGTAATTAAATATTACGGTTATTAATAAATTGTTCACTTACAAATGATAATTTATTATACTATTAATTTTTTTTGGGCCCACGAATTAAACAATGTTTTTCTTACCGTTAAAACCAAACGTCCTTGTATCCCTAAAGGATCCTGATTTATTGAAATAATATCTTTATTTAACAGGATATTTTTGAACTGTGGCTCAATACTTCTTAAATCTACTGACATAATTAGAGGTGCTGCCATTATAGCCCAAATCGCCATTTGGGCTTTGCTCTGTTCGTAACTGAGACCAAAATTTCCAATAATTAGCTAAAAAAAAAAAATAAAATATGTACCTTTAGTAATTATTCGATATTTCAATTAACCACATTGTTATAATTATTTAGATGCCTATCAACAAGTTTCACTTATTTCCTGTGATTTAAACTACACAATGCTTTGTTAGTAGATTAGAACAATAACCATTTACTTTCTATTTAGGGAGATTAATAATTAGGGATTGCAAAAAGAGTTGAAAATGCAGTTTTTACCATGAGTGAACAATTCTTGTTTATGCACAGAAACAGTACATACTTCATCTCTAGTAAAAAATGCTACTGTATTGATGAATCCATTTTGGAGACAAATGGAGCTGTTCGCATATTTCTACAAGTCATTAGTTTTTATTTTTTATCTTCGGAAATTGAATAAATGAAGTATAGTCCGGACAATATTTGTTGAGATAGAATTCCAAGAAAAGAATTAAGCCAATAAAGTTGTGTTATCGGAACTACTGTAACAATTTACTGCGGCAGGTGCGTGCCTTGAAATAGTTCGTGTTATTTTCAGAGTATCAAAAAAATATGTATAGTGTAATATACAGCGTGTTATTTACCGGATTGTTACATACTTTAAGGGCATAATCTAGAATCCAAATGGTGTCGATTTAATCAAATTTGCTTAAAGAAAAATGTTGCAAAAAAATTTTACAGGGTGTAAAAGTTTCTTTTTTATTTCTTGTTTAACCAATTAGAGCAAAATTTGCTGTTGCCTAGTTTTCATGAAGAATGCAGTGATTATGTTCCTATTAGGTTAAAGCATACAGAGTGTTCATTTTACTACAACCCTTTGTGAATATTCTTCTGTAACTTTTTTTTTTCGTTTAAATTTTTATCAGAAATAGGTAAATAATTTTATTCTACATAAAAAATGTATACCTATCAAAAGTCGAAATTTGTGTTCCAGATTATACCCTTGAAGTATGTAACATTTGTTAGGTGACACCCTGTATATAAAATAGATTTTTTTTTTGGATTAAAATGTGTTTTTTTCTTTTACAGTACAGTATAGTACAAATCATAAATAAACTAGAAGATAATACAATACAGGCTGGTACAAAAAAAAGAAACAATTTGTAAACATGTACGTTGTTATTATGTTTTATAATTTCACACTGCTGTGGCTTAAGCAAATTCGGTCATATATATTTTTCTTGTTGTAGCTAGATGCTTTATGTACGTGTACACAATTCAGGGGGAGATTTGAAATCAACTTAAAGTTAGATTTAAAAATCTGGTATTGTTTGTCCAACTGTAAGAACTAGTATGGCCAGCGTGAATGTAAGTTTCATTGGTTCCTGTAATACTTAATTTTGTCCAGATTGTTCAACATTATAGCGCGAATATCAATCATCTGCATTAGCATCCGCCGATTGTTCTTAGTTTTACTCGACCTAAATTCAAGTTTTCTGGAAAAGTCGTATTCCGCACCTAATTTTCCTTGTAATTTTGTCAGAGTCACTAGCAATCCATCCGTTTTGTGAAAATTATAAATCATGTTTCTAATAACCATTTATTCCCATTTTGGTATGTTAGTTTTTATACATATTCTTTTGTGTTCTTTTAGGAGAACTAAATTTTACTTCACCATCACCATTATTTAGAGCTTGTAACTCGACACACTCACTTAAGATTCTCCCTAAAGAGGCTAAAGATACCTACTCTTGTAGCATACGGTTTTCTAATTGATTTTTATTTTCATTTGGAAAAATGGTCTTAAAATTATACAAGTTAAACACGATACTTTTCGATTGGGAACTAAATATCTTTCCTTTATTTTTCACCTCCGTTGATTTATTTTAATAAGAAATTACACTGACGAAATTACACAAGATGATACACTTACAAAGAAACACGCCTTCGTAACAGCAAAACACAGTATGCACTGCATGCTGCTACGGTGAACGCCACGCCGCCGATGTGTTTCTACCTCGGGTGTCAAATGCGGTTAATTACAAGAAAGTGACGCAGGGGTCTCCTTGAAATTCTATCTCAACAAATATCGTACGGACTGTACTATAATTGTGTTGTTGCTGAATTTAGAAAGTTGAGTTCTAGAAGAATCTGGCCGAAAATTATAACCCTTATGAAAATTGAATGCGCTAGCAGTTGAAAGTGGAAAAGGCGAGGATACATGAAAAATGGTTTTTAAAAATGCAAAATCGATATGATCTAGGGAATGTCATGAAAGGTCATCGTTTCGAAAATAATTGATACTTTTCTTCCATACTGTATAATTTTATGTTCAATTTAATTCAAAAAGAATTCGGCACATTATTAACAGTTTCTTCAGTCACTTCTATAATAACAACTCATAAGAGACGGCAATTTTTTCTTTTTATCTATAGGGAAAATGACTTCATTTTAAGATTGCGAACATGAGTTTTACATATTTTGTTACTAAAGACGATAAAAATACTAAATTTATGATTTTCTTCCTTCTTAAATAAAGTATATTACATACTGACATGGAAATGCTTCCTTTTCTCACCGGTGTGAACTTGGCAGACCAAAGTTAGCAGGCGATTTACCGAAAACATAGGCGCGCAGTAAGTGAAAGAAAGAGGTTAAATATTTATAAAAGAAAATTTCCTGAATTTTGAATGTAACTCATACACAACGTAAAATTAAATATTGTGTATCAAGAGCATTTAAAGAACACAGTTATAAATATTTACAATAATTACTTAATCAGAAAGAATAAATATGAACAACCCACACTCACAGGGTACTTGTAGGAGAGAGTAATAAAACCATTTATAAAAACACACTGATCTGCATTGCTTCCAAAGGGTGAATTACGTATGGCACCACTTTAAAAATAAATTCTATAGAAAAATTAAGAAAGGATTCTAAAAAACAAAATTATTATGAATGAAGAAACTGAGGGATCAACTTGAAATTCCACGGTTTGTGTAAAATAGAGGTATAAAGTTCCCCCTAAAAGCACATTCACTTGCAAGGTTTCCAAGGGGTGAATTATGACAAAAAATGTAAAAATAAATTCTAAAATAAATTAATTATGAAGGAAGAAAATGAGGGATCAACTTCAAATTCGCACGGTATGTGTATCTACTAAAAGCACATTGACTAGCAAGCTTTGCAAGGGGTAAATTACGACAAAAAACAAAAATAAATTCTAAAATAAATAAATAATGAAGGAAGAAAATGAGGGATCAACTTCAAATTCGCTCGGTACGTGTAAAATAAAAGTATAAAGTACTTCCTGAAAGTACATCGACTTGCAAGCTTTCCAAGGGGTGAATTGACAAAAAACATAAAAATAAATTCTAAAATAAATAAATAATGAAGGAAGAAAATGAGGTATCAACTTCAAATTCGCACAGTATGTGTAGTAAAGTCCCTTTTAGAAGGATATTGACTTGCAAGGTTTCCAAGGGGTGAATTATGTCATAAAACATAAAAATAAAATATAAAATAAATAAATTATAAAGGAAGAAAAGAGGGATCAACTTCAAATTCGCACGGTACGTGTAGAATAGAAGTATAAAGTATCTCCTAAAACCACATTGACTTGCAAGCTTTCCAAGGAGTAAATTATGACAAAAAACTTAAAAATAAATTCTGCAAGTCAATGTGCTTTTAGGAGGTATAAAAACAAATGTGTCATCAATCCCAGTAAAGTCGTTATTTATCAAATTGTTTAGTGTTATAGTTTATACATAACTTTTGGTTTGAAAATTGTTACAGTTATACAAGGTGGACCACGGGAGCGGGAAGTTTTGAAAACGACGTATTTTCGACGTATTTAATTAAGACAAAGTACAATAACAAGATAATTGTGTGTCATTTTTATTTCTTAAAAATTATGTCTGCTAAATGGCCTCATCTTCTCTCCATACACTCGTGAAGCCGAACATTGAAATTCTGCATAACACGATGCAACATATCCAACGGAACATCAGCAATTTCTTCCCGAATTTTCATTTTCAACTCCAGAATATCTCGTGGTTTGTCAATGAACACCTTGCTTTTTAGATAGTCCCACGAAAAGTAGTCACATGCCGTAAGATCTGGCGATCTTGGGGGCACTCAATGTCTCCGTGTCTGAAGATAACACGACCTGGAAACAATCTTCGCACGGAATCCATTGATGCTCTTGCGGTATGTGAAGTAGCGCCATCTTGCTGGAACCAGCTATTGTTCTGTTGAAACATGTTCAGTTGCTGTGTAAGGAACTGGTTAATCATGTCACTATAGCGTGCAGCATTGACTGTTAAAGCATTTGCATTATGATCCTCAAAAAAATAGGGACCTATGATTCCCAGTGAAGATATTGCGCACCATACTGTTACATTGGGGCTGTGTAACGGCTGTTGATGAAGTTCTTGTGGATTTTCCAAAGCCCAATAACGGCTGTTTTGTTTATTGGTATAGTCAGATAAATGGAAATGTACTTCATTAGAAATCCATAAATTGTGAACGTCAAGTTCATGCTGCAGCATCGTTTCAGCAAAATGTAGGCGAACAGGAAGATCTGTTGGTTTCAATGCTTGGATAATCTGGATTTTGTAAGAACGAAAATTGAGATCCTTGTGTAAAATTCTAGGAAAAGTAGTCCTAGATAAGCCCAAGGCCTGGCTTTGTTTTCGATTTGAACCTTTTGGACTGCGCTCTGCAGATGCTCTAACGCGATCAATGTTTTCAAGACTTCTATTTGGTCCCTTATGTTTGACATTTTCATATCTTCAAATTTACGAACCCACTCCTTTATGGCATGGGCAGGTGGAACTCTCCCGTGACGAGCAATGTTGAAATTAATTCGAAATTAAAAAAATTAAAAAAAATTAAAAACCACATAATCATTATTTTTGTAGTAAGATTTAATCACAAAAGAACGTTATTTGCCGGACCACTGTTCCATGATTACTAAATGGCATAAAGTGACAGATAATAATTTGTCAAACAAATCCGAGGCAACCTATGCATAGTAATGAAATAATAACATTTTCAAAACTTCCCGCTCCCATG